AGGAAAACTTGTTCATCCGCCATAAATGTTATGGATATCACATATTTTGTAGATAAGTTGAATAATACAATACTCAAAAAGAGCCTGGTGTAATGCCACTATTCAAATCTGTAATATAGTGAAGCTGGAATAGCTGGAGTTCTGATCACTGAACTGGAGGCTACATTTGAAGAAGGGTCTAAGATACCAGGGAAACGTGGAGCAGTGGACAACCAAAATATTCAAAGAGCTCAAACACCTTTTGAGAAAATAACTAGAATATTTCGGACTCTTTAGCCTTAAAAAAAAAAGAGTCTGATGTGATTAAGGGATGAAACTGTTCCTTGAATGGACAGAGTATCCTCCCCCCCCCCCGTCTCTCTCTCAGAATACTAGGACTGGGATCGCCTAATGAGACTGATTGGAAGGAAACTTAGAACAGATCCTAAATAGTGCTTTTTCACACACTACAAATCTGGAGAATTTATTTTTACAATATACAGTGACAGTCATTAACTTACATTAACTTTAAAATAAGATCCAGTAAATTATTGGAAGAGGGGCTATTAAGAACTACTACTCTTGGAATTCAGTGTTACCTCCATGTTGGGAGCAGCAGGATTCCAAATACCAATTGCAGAGAAAAATAAAGAACGGCAGATACGATCTTTTGTTCCGCTTGGAAACATCCCAGAAGCATCTGGTTAGTTATTGACCAAAAATGCTGGAACTAAGCAGGGCATCAGTACAATATGGGATAGTGACTTCATTCCTTTTATTGTCTCAGGGAATGGACTGATACCGCATAAAGCCTTTTCCCATGAACTTCATTACTTCATTATATCACAAAGACTCAGATTCAGCTCCATCCAAAGTTATTTGGGGAAGAAAAATAACTTATTTGCTTGAGGTCCCAAGCAGCTTTTGTAAGTCACATCTTATTATAATATTTTAATAATGTGATGTAGTTATATTCTATTAACTTCTTTTATATTCTTGAATGACCATTGGCGGCACGGTGTTTAGAATGCGGTATTGCAGGCTAATTCTGTTGACTGCTGATTGCCAGTTCAAGTCTCACTGGCTCAAGGTTGATTCAGCCTTCCATCTTCTGAGGTCAGTAAAATAATGACCCAGATTGTTGGGGACAATATGCTGACTCTGAATCACTTAGAGAGGGCTGTAAAGCACTGTGAAGCGGTGTATAAGTCCAAGTGCTATTGCTACTGCTGTGTAGAAAATTAGGTTACAGACATAAGGACAGAAAATAAAGATATGGTATCCCCCCTCAGTTTTTCTATTTCTGTTCCTCCAAGCCACATTATTTCTGCCAGCAGCTGCAAGCTTTCAGGATACATGCCAAGGCATATCATCTGTAAACAAAATTTCTATTTCCTTGGAGCCAAATCAAAGAACTGAAATGGTGACTTGCCTTGGTGTTCTTGAGAAATGGCTGGCAGACTTTGTCTTGAGTGAAGTTTGTAAACATATATTATCAGTGGCATGTACTGGCAGGTTGTTATTATTTGGGGGCTAATTCTGAAGTTTAAATTCTGTGAACAATATTATCTGCAAAGCGATTTACAAGCTCCTGCTGCTGTGGATTTATGAAGACAATAAAAAGCTCATTAGGCAGTATTAGAAACAGCAGTGCAAACTTTTTGTTCCACCTTGTGCACCGAGGATAGTGCACAAATGAAATGAATATGCAAGTAACTTTTTATCTGAAAAGGTCATGTTTAGTAATTACTGCAAGTCTCTGTTATTTGAATTGCTCTGGAGAACACATATCAGGTGAATGGCTCTAGCAACATCCTTTCTATTTTACAGATAAATGTACCGTTGACTGTTTTCCTTCTGGCCCCAAAATCCCTCATTGCTTCTTGTATTTCCAGACTGGGTTTTTACTTGTACCTTATGGTACTACTCATGATGCCACAACCTAGACATTGTTCAGGCAGAATAATAAAAATAATAAAAAAACTGTTGCTGCTCCTTCAGAAAAAAGTAGTTGAATTGCACTCAAACTTTGAGAATTGTGCTCCATTTTTAAACATGGTAGTAATTTCTGGAGGCTGAGAGTTGGAGCAAACCAGTGATAGAGTGGAGGTGGTTAATTGCCATGTCAGTCATGTTTTTCCAGCAAGATCTCCACCATATCCCATCTCATAGACTTCTAGGGAATCAATCCTGCTACATGGAGAAGAAAGCAGAAAGGTTGCCATTTTAATGAGAAAAACAATCAAAAAAGTTAAACTCTTCCATTTCACACTCCATTGCTAGAACAGCTACCCTTCACTCAAAAGTACAGCTTCCTGAACCAGCTCATTATTAAAAATGTCAAGTCTTCATTACAATCATTTCACAAATAAGCATTGTTTATTTATGAATAAGAGACCTTTCCATGAGTGTGTAAAAACCAGCTGTGTACTCTCATTCCTGTCTCCCTCTTTCTTTGTGTTCTGTAATAATCCATCACATTTTATTCAGTTTGTTTCTCTCCCCTGCTATATAAATCAACTGGATGACTGGTTTTGTATTCTCAGTCTGAGTGTGGGGACAAGTTGCTGAATGCTGATAGTTATATGCTGCTAACAAACTGCTAGAAGGAAATGCTGAAGCACTGGCGTCTTAAGGATAGTTTTGACTATCATTTAGAAAACATCCTGGTTTCCAATATGAGAATGCCAAAGAACAATTATGCTCTAGTTTGTTTAAGCATAGTTTATTGAATAAGCATGGTTGGTTGAGTTTGCAAGCTATATTAAGCTAAATTCAAACAAATCACATGCTTCATATAGCCTTTAGTAACCTTGCTTCCTACAGATGTGTGGACTTTAACTTAGCTATGGTTAGACTGGCTGGGAAATTCACAGAATGGAAATCATGGCTGGACAGCATCCAGGGAAGACTTAACATGTTGTGTGAAGCTTACCTTCTTGATCTTCACTGCTGTCTCAGTAGGGTTAAGCTTTATCCTCCAAACCAGCTTCTTCTCAAAATACGGGTGGGCCGGCAGGGAAATGCCTATGAACTTGTGCAAAGGTGCCCCATTTATTGTTTGCCAAGCATTGTCCTCATAATAGAGTTTCAATCTTATATTGGCAGGTTGAAGCCAATTCATGGGGTTCTGGCATGAAAGTATTTTCCCTGCTGAGATATTGGAAGATACATCCAACAATACATTGTGCATGGAGGAGGCAGCTGAAGTGCACGTAACTGAAAGGACAATTGAAATGACTCTTCTGTTCAGGGTCTGTAGCCTATGTAGCATGGAATTCACTTCCCAGGTCATTTTTATCAGTAGATCCCTGACTTCTTAGGTTTCCCTTATGAATTTTTTAAAAAATAATTTCACTTCATCCTGGTACAGGTGTGGCTCTCACATACACCTTAATGTTTCTCTCCCTATCATATAATTAGAACCATAGATGAGTTGTGATTTGACACAAATATCAAATTCCAGTTCTTGAAGTAGACTTATTTAGCAGCTATATCTCACCTGAATGAATGTGGATGACCAGTAGATGGCAGACATGAGAGACCACCCTCCTTTTCTTTACTGCCATCTAATGGCTGGCCGATTGATAATCAAAGGCAAAAAACAATGGTGAAGGAATTATTGGCTATATCCAAGAGCACACCACTCTCCCATACATATACCAACATCTCTTTCTTGAACTCCAAGGGCATTTATGCAGCAGCTACAACTGACCTGCACAAATTTAAGTGTCACCATTAAGATAAACTCTTAGCTGCTATCTTGGTTTCATTAGATCAACAGACTGGCTATTCTTTTGAGAGAAGGAGGAAAATCATTGGCCTGAGGACCTGGAGCATCTAACCATCCTGGCACACTTTTTGAACTATAGTTATTTTTTGTATGGTTGGTGATATCTACATTTTAGCTGGGGACATTTTGCCAGAAGATGCCTTGATTGCATCACATAAAGGGGCTGTACAGACAGCAGCAGGGCAGGAGCCCATTCAGATGCATAGGAAGGGCCTGCTGTGAAGGCCACATGATTTACATTGATATGATTTCCTCCAGGTTCTGGGTCAGAATAAAAACACGGCAAGGTAGCTGCATGGATCAGCTCTAATAGTATAGTATAGGGGGTACCTTGCTCAATAGTAATAACTATGAGAGGAACCTCGGAGTCCTAACAGACAATCACTTAAATATGAGCCAGCAGTGTGCTGCAGCTGCCAAAAAGGCCAACACAGTGCTGGGCTGCATTAACAGAGAGATAGAATCAAGATCACGTGAAGTATTAATACCACTTTACAATGCCTTGGTAAGGCCACACTTGGAATACTGCATCCAGTTTTGGTCACCACGATGTAAAAAAGATGTTGAGACTCTAGAAACAGTACAGAGAAGAGCAACAAAGATGATTAGGGGACTGGAGACTAAAGCATATAAGGAAAGGTTGATGGAATTGGGTATGTCTAGTTTAATGAAGAGAAGGATGAGGGGGGACATGATAGCAGTGTTCCAATACCTCAGGGGCTGCCACAAAGAAGAGGGAGTCAAGCTATTTTCCAAGGTGCCTGAAGGCAGGACAAGAAGCAATGGATGGAAACTAATCAAGGAGAGAAGCAACCTAGAACTAAGGAGAAATTTCCTCACAGTTAGAACAATTAACCAGTTGAACAACCTGGCTCCAGAAGTGGTGAATGCTCCAACACTGGAAGTTTTTAAGAAGAGACTGGATAGCCATTTGTCTGAAATGGTGTAGGGTTTCCTGCCTGAGCAGGGGGTTGGACTCGATGACCTCCAAGGTCCCTTCCAACCATCGCACAGTCAGCCAGATGTTCAGACTGGATTTGGCATTTTGTCTACCTATCGAGTCCTTACCCAGGACCTGGGATAGGCAGATGTGGGTAAGGACTCGATTATTATTATTATTATTATTATTATTATTATTATTATTATTATTATTATTATTATTGATCATCGCACAGTCAGCCAGATGTTCAGACTGGATTTGGCATTTTGTCTACCTATCGAGTCATTATCATCATCATTATTATTATTATTATTATTATTATATTATTATCCTACCAAAGGGATCCAGAATGATATTCTTCCATGCCATTTCATACAGTATTCTTTATTCAGATGAATATTAGCTTCAGTTTCAGACATCAAATACAGGATCTGAAAACACACAACCAGCAAGAAAAGGGAACAAAGTGAGAATCTGGATAGTGATTAGGTACCTATATTACAACAGTTATTCATACCCATATCCTCTTGCCTCTAGACTACTATAATTTACTCTATGTGGGGCTCCCCTTGAAGACTCAGAAGGCCCACTAATACAAAATGCAGCTAGCTGGCTGGCTGGCTGTGGATAGCATGCTTATCCTAAGGGAGCTACATTGGCTGCCAGTCAGCTTCAAAAAAGTTATGTGGCTTAAATCCTTTTTACCTGAAAATCTTTCTTCCATATGGAAGATTCCCCCCATCATGCAGTGAGAGGCGTGGAAGTTTGAAAACAGGCCATCTGGTTGTTCCCGTCCTGTGGAACAAACTGCTCTCTGAAATTAGGCTATCCCTACTCTTTTACCAATTTTTTGGAAGATGTCTAAATCTCTGGTTATGGAGAATTGGAGGTGTTTTATCTACATGGCCTGTTTCCCTCCTGCCATTTTTAGTTGAGAGATTTTGTTGCTTGCTGTGAATTGTTTTATTGATTGTGGATCTGGGTGATGTAATGGTGAGACACACAGGATCTAAACTGGGACAGCATACAGATTTTCTAAGAACCAAGATTACATGCTGCAGAAAATCTATACATTTACAGTCAGATTACATCTTGGGGAAAGATTATAACTTCCATGTTCATAGATAAAGTAGGTGGAAACTTGTGGCTGGAAGAGTCACATAGCTAATTTTGGGTGGCATAACAAGCAGCAAGTTAGGATTTGTACTAAGAAGAGTTGGTTAATGATAGTTTGTTATATAAGGCACAATTTTCTGTATTTGCGCATTCGGTGAAGCTTTTAATTATAATTATTATTAATTATAATTCACAAATCCTGATGGCTGTATTTGTGTGCAACACAATTACCCAAAACCAAAGAAAACATATCATGACTTAACCAGAAGAACAAACCCTTATGTTAAATACTTCTTCTCCATCTTCCCATTATAAAGGTTGCCTTTATTCCTTTTTCACCTCAATACTCCAGATGGAAAAAATATCATACCTTGGGAAATAACGGGAACATCTGAATAGATCTGGGCAATACCTGCAGACTTTCTCTGGTTCCGAAACAACTGGGACAGAACATCTTTCAGACGGAAAAGACCTCAAAGCTAAAACAAAGAGCAAGGGCTGTGTAACAAGCAGACCTGGGGGAAACCCAATGAACAAGTTTGTTTCTGGTTAGTTAGCCCAATTGTTTGGCTAGGGATAGATTTGTGAGGAAGTGTCTAAACTCGGTTTGGGAATTGCTGCCTTGGCAAGGGAGCATCCCACCACTCTGGTAAGTGATATGGAATATAAAGAAGGCCATTCCCAAGTCAGTTATCTGTGGACTATAGAAAAAAGAGGATTTGTGGCAAGTTAAACAAGGCCAGAGTCTTCTGCAGAGTGATGGAGCGAAGAAAACAAAAGGGCATATTAAGAATGTAACTTTTTAAAATAATTTCTTTAAACAACGTTAGGAAAGCAATGGCTTGATTTGGAATATATAACCTTGAACAGGCAGTGTCTTAATGCTATTGGAAAAAGGCTTTTGAATGCACATTCTTTCAACAGAATCCTATTTATTTGTATATTGTCTTGTTTTTTTTTATCAGTGTGGCTGGCAATGGGAAGATAAATTCAGTGGTAACAGTAGAAAATCCCTCAATATCATAAAAATATTAATATATTCACCTTTCCTCAAGTAGTCTACTTCTGATTTTTGCAAATGGCTGGATTCCATGTGCTGGAAGATAGAATCTAAAGATAAGTTATATTAAATGTACATCAAAAGGCACATCTTCATTATCTTAACTTACATTTCCTCCTGCTTCCTGGAGGCGAGGCTTACTATTTATGTTTCTCATCATGTTCTGCAATAATTAGGTTCTATTTGGCAACTACACTGACTGACCAGGGTCTATGACAACTCATCATGGCTAACTTACCACAGCCAACTCACTGCAGGACCACTCACCATGGGACAAGAGTTAACTAATATTGAAGAAATAGTAGAAATGAATCATTAAAGAAAGGATGCCAAAGGAGGGACAAAGTGAAATGTGAATGACAAAAAAATTTTTTTTTAAATTTTTTTTAAATAATTAAATTGAATTGTTGAATTGTCCCGCAGTGAGTTGTCATGTGGTGAGTTAGTCATGGTGAGTTGTCCTGTTGTGAGTTGGCCATGGTGAGTTGGCTGCGGCGAGTTGTCCCATTTCAGACCAATGTATTTTTTGTGCTTGTTATATTATTTTTAGTTTCTAAGCAAGTGGACAACGTATACTGAATCTTGGCTGATCTTGAAAAGTCTAAGCAGGATGAAATCAAGCCTGTGGTTGGATGTCAGATTGCCAGGAAATTCCAGCTGTATAGAATAGGCAGATGGATGGATAGACTGAGAGACAGGACAGACAGATGGCAATGAATGTATTGCAGATCATCCGTGATGATGATATTCTACAATTTAGCTCCTTCAAAGCCCAAAGGTGACTCCAAGAAATGATTAATAAAATAAAAACAGCAAAATAATACAAACAGACCCTAGGTGGCTGACTGCAGCTTGAAGGTCTTTGCAATCATTATTACATGCTTTATCTTTCGGTGTGGAAAAGATGGATAAATTTTATACAATATAAGTATGATATAAGAAAATATTATCTAGCTTTTGAATAATTTATATAAGTTTAAGATATTATTTAGAAGTGTAATTGTTATTATTCTTTAATTTTTTATTTTTTTATTTTTATTATTTCTTTTTTATTTTCTCTTTTGTTTTTCCTCTTTTTGTTTTTTTATATATAATGGAGTTAAAGTATTTTACAATTTGTTTATTGAGTGTAATTATATTTGCTTAAGGTTTATTTGGTTTAAAACTTTTTTTTCTTTTAAGATCTAATTAAGCCTGTATTCAGCTCTGGGAAGAACGGGGGAGGATTTTGGGGTGGGTTGGGAGGGATTGGGGAAGGGGTTTTTATTGTAAAATTTTAAAAAATTTTAATAAAAAAAAAATCATTATTACGTGCATAACAAAGCAGTCCTGGCAAACATCCCTGGGAAGGTTTTCCAGAATGTGGGTCTCTCCACTGCTAATTTGGGATCAGAACAGCATTATAGCCATGATATGCTTGGACAAAGTCAGAACTTCACCAGGACATACTAGATTGGAACTTTAGAAGTCATCCTTTCAACATATTTGAAGGATATCATGTTGCTATTCTAGAGTCTCTCCAGTTTCTTCTGTACCATACATTTCAAATGCTGGGTATGTGAATCAAACGGGGTCTTTAAGAATCTTTTAAGGCCTTGGAAATTATCTGAGTGAAGGATCCTAATGATTTAATGGTTCTTCAGAACACCATTTGAAAGAAATTGATCTGATGGAAATCTATGATTTCTAGAAATACCTAGAACTTACTGCTGTAAATTTTTATTAAGCTGCTCATGAATGCAAGCAATGATTATATGATTTATGAATCATCAGAAGAAATAGGTGAGCTATCCTGATCATTAAATGAAATAGCCTTGGGACCTGTGGAAGAATGGGAAAAAAGGAAATATAAATAATTTTATTGATATAACCTATAAATGTGGCGGCTGCAATCCTTGAAGACTGTTGTGGGCTCTGAGTATATTCCTGCGCTTGGTCCAAGAAGCCCCGCAGTTTTCCAGGATACTCTTTAACCTAGAAAATAATTTTGATCCATGTTAAAGAGCACTCCTCAATGTAGTCGGCCAGATATGATAAGAATGCAATTGAAATTCCCAGTGGGTTAGGCCATTCTTCCCCAACTTATTGTCATCGAGATATTTTGAGAGTGCATTTCCTAACACAGGGCTATTCAACCTTTTCATAGATTGTACCACTTTTAGGACAGGACAATATTTGAGTACCACCAGTGCTTAGCAAGTTATCAAAAACTTGATGACTAAAAAAAAGGGGGGGGGGTTGGACTTTACTGATTAGATTCATTTGTTGTTATAGAAATGGATAGTTTATAATATTATGGAAAAGTAAAAAGTTGAGATTCAATGTTAAAGCTTCCTTTTTACTGCAGCAGTGGAACTCAGAAGTCAATGTCGTTTCTTTTTTCCCTTTTCCCCCTCATTTTTTCCTTTTTCTCTCACCCTTCGCTCGCAACCCCCGTACCCTTGGCTAGCAAAAACCTCTCACTTGCTCTCATTCACTCACACGTTGCTCGCAAAAGCCCTTGCTCACTCTTTCACTCACCCTTTGCTCGCAAAGGCCGCTCACTCGCTCTCTCCTCACCACTTCACTAACAAAAGCCTCCTCTCCTCTCCTCTCCTCTCCTCTCCTCTCCTCTCCTCTCCTCTCCTCTCTTCTCTTTGGGTGTGTTTTTTTCTCTCTCCCTCTTTCGTTAAAACCTACCTATAGTTTCTCCTATCTCTGCCCTCCTTCTCCTTTTCTCTTCCAGGTGCTCCGGAAGTTCCAACTAGCATGCAGCCATGCGTGCAGATCCTGAGGCTTCTGCCGAGCCCTGCAACTCCAGCTGGTCTCCTCCAGGCCTGCACGGTGCCGCTTTAGTTCCTTCCCTCTCCTGCTATACTTGGCTAGGGGTCACGTAACACCTGCCAGGTGCTAAGTACCACCGGTGGTATGTGTAACACCGGTTGAAAAGTCCTGCCCTAACATCTCTGAAAGATACTGAATGGGAGAAAGCAGCACTAGAATGATACTCTCTTAGGATGTGTCATCTAATGCCTATAACAGCGTCTCTTGAAATGTATCTCTGACAAGCCATGTCAAGACCCCACATGTGAATATATTATACTGTAAAATTCAGTGCATATGAATAAAACCTGGTAATTGATTAGCCTTAGACTATGCATGTTGAATTTTCCTTGCCTAGGAAAGATTCTGATAATGTGATTACCTTGCACAACTTGTTGGGGCTATCAAAGGTGGGGGAGAGCTATTAGATAGGTGGATAAAACCAATATGCTTTAATAGTATATGCTCTGTATGATGGGCAGGGCTTCTGATGAGTGTTTTGCCTGGGTGGTGCACAGAAAAATCTTTCCTCCAAGAAAAGGAAAAATGATAGCTATGAATATATTCATACTTAGTTGGGAAAACTGTTGTAGGATAAATGGCTCAAAGACTACTTATTAGGAAGCATGCATGCTATACAAAGGAAGCCTTTCCCCCCTCTCACTTCTTCTTTATCTTTATTCGATGATTTGGAATCAAAAGATAAAAACAAACAAACAATGTATGACAAAAAGAGCCCAATATATTTTAATGGCCTTACCAGATGCTTACAGAGCACGTTCCAAAAGTTCTCATCATTTGCCGTCCACCCCAAGAAGGTCTTGCAAAGTTCTAAACTGTTAGTACGAGACTTAAAATCCAGAGAAAATAAAAATGTTCCTCAGAGAGAATAGATCAGGATTTGAAAAACAACAGAGAAGAAAGGCAAGAACATTCTTTATCAAGATATTACAAACAAAATGTTTTTCCAGATAATAAAGAGAAAGTGTCCAGAATACACTGCAACAGTGATGGTGAACCTTTTAGAGACCGAGTGCCCAAACTGCAACCCAAACCCCACTTATGCATCGTCAGGTGCTGGGTGGGTGTGGCCATTGGCTGGGTGTGGTCCATTGGCTGGGCGTGGCTGCAGTGGTAACAGCAGACTGGGTAGGACTAAAAAGTTCAATCAATTCCAACTTTGCAAGATCTTTTTTTTTTCCCGCAAGAAGTTGAAATTGACTGATTGAACCTTTTTTTTTTTTGCACACGGCAGCAGAGGCCTAAAGTGAAAAGGTTTTATAAAATCCAGCTGAAGGCCTAGAACTGGGACGACGACGCGTGTGCCCACAGAGAGGGCTCTCAGTGCTGCCTCTGTCACCCGTGCCATAGGTTCGCCACCACTGCACTACAGTGTGTGGTTTGCTATTTCTTTCAGTAAAGTTTAGTCTGTTTGACCTTTAATATTGAGAAGGAAGTTTCTGACCTTTATTATGGCAAATCATTTTAAATTAAACCAAAGTGGCAACCTGAAAAATGTTACAACTATATTAAAAAACGTGCTATACATAATTTTAAACCCATAAGCAAAACATTTTTCATATTGAAGATGTTGTTTTCCCTTCTCTCAAATAAAACAGTTCTTTAAGTTTGACATTCTTCAAGTTTTTTTAGCATTATATTTTATTATGTTGAGGTTTCAGGGTGTGTATTATGTAGGGGAGTCTATAAGGTAAGTGTTAAAATCAAGGCAGCATCTACAATTGTACAATGGAAGCCCTGCTTCCCCCTTTTTTTACTTGTGACACATGTAAAAATAGATGGACTGTGATCATGCAGTTGTGGTTGCATCTTGATTTTCTTGACATCCCTCTGCTTATGTCCCTGTTATGGGCATTCATAGAGGAGACCCAGAGAGAAAGTGATGTCAGATACATCACACTGCCATTGCTCAAAAACAGAGGATGTAATGTTCATCTATCTTACAATGTTCACATAGTTTGTATCATCATTTCATGATGTTTGTGCTGCTATCACCACTACTACCACCACCACCATCATCGCTTGAACCAGGGAGAAAAAATATATACTACTTGATTTACCTTTGCCACATCTTGATGTGGATCTTCTAGATTTAGCATCAGTGTTACAATACTATTGAGAACTTGATCCTGCATAGAGGGTTTGTCTTTTGTGTCCAAAGTTTTGAAGATGTCTTGGAACAGCTGATTTGCAGCACAGCATATATTGTCCCTCCTCTGGAATTTCAGAAGGAAAGGAAATACATCAATTTCTATCAGACTGGTAAATATCAACTTTGGAAGCAAAACGAAGATCTAGTTTTTTAGGCTATTTTCTCCTTCCTAAGGAAAAGTGGCATAAAATAACTGAATTTATTAATGAGAAGAAGAGGAGATGCTTTATGCCAAATCTTTATGGTATTTCTCTTATAATAGAAGCAAAATCGAACATATTTTTAAAGATTTCCCAAATCCACCATTTTTCTATTTACTGTCCCAGCTTTAAAACCCTCTCACATGTGAATGAATAATGTCTTCTAAACTTACATCTATCAAGAATGGATGAAGCTGTTTGACAATCTTTAGAAGTACATGGTTGGCATACTTGTGGTGTGCAACCTCCTTGGTTACGACCTCAAAAGCTGTCAATGTCACCTTCTCATCAGAATCATTGAAGTTTGGAAGTATACTCAGGATTAGCGATGTGAGTTCTTTCCTCTGAAAAGACATCAACACGCATTCATTTTATATATGTGTGCATTTGTCTATTTGATATAATTTGATATCAGTCTTCTTGAACAGGTCAGCAATGTGCATGCTAAATATAATAAAACTTTTTTCTAGGGCTTGAAAGTTTAAGATGTAATTCTTCTCAAAATTGTGGGCAGCAAAGAAGGACTTCTAGAGAACTAGACAACAAAAATGCAAAAGCATTTGCCACCTTATTAATACTTGAAGAGGTGGGTAAAGACACTTGTATGGAATATTTATTTACCAATGAGATTTATATTTGCCTCAATCATTAAATGGACTTTCAATCTCACTTCTAAGGCAGGATGTTGGTGATCTGGCTCAAAGAAACTTAGTGTTTTATGGATGAAAAACAGTAGCTTGAATTATCCTTAGAAATAAATAGCTCAATCAATGCAGTTGATCCCAAAGAGTAATAATATCAGCCATATATTTGCCCTCTAGACGAAAACTGGCTGCAACATTCTGAACATATTAAAGTTGCCAAATTCTTTTCAAGGCAATTACATGCAGAGAATTTTACAATATTCAAGATAAGAAGTGACTAAGACATTATTCACAGTAGCCTGACTGAATGGTTCCAGCAGGGTATCAGTAAGCAAAGGAGGCACCAAATTGGCTTAATTTCTTCAGAAATAACTCATCCATTAACCTCATTCAAAGCTAAAGTTTTCTTCAAACATACAAATAATATACCAGGTTCAATCATTGATGGTGGTGGGAAATCATTGTCACTCACATTTTGCAGATGCCGAATTACATTCCTCATCCCATGAAGACTGAGCCAGCGGTAGGTTGGGTTTGAATCAATCTGCCAACTCTTTAATAAACTCAAGATATAATGCTTTTGTAGCACTGTATAGGTAGTCTCAGAAGAAAGAAGCTGAACAACATAAATCAGTAAATATGTGGTAGAAAATCAGAGCACTTCACCTATTTCCCATTAGCTGTGGAATGATAAAGATGAAATCTGCTGTATTTTGGGGGAAGGAGGATCAAGAAAGTCAAGATGGTGGCCATTACTGCTCAATTGAATGACATGTCTAGGGGCTTTGCTCTATGTCATGATCACCATCATGACCTTTTTGCCATCTCTGGGATGCTTCTATTTCCTCTTTTTCTTCTACATCCATGATCTTTAATAAAAAGCAGCAAGTAAGGTGTTAGGAGTTTGTTCATTTATTGGTTGAAGAATTAAAAAGGCCATGCAATGCTACAGATAGAAAGAACAACAGAAATATTGGCATGTAATCTTGAGATGACCTAAGAAAAAGAATTCCATTTAGAATTTTGGATTTCTCCTTATAATGTTTTCTTTATAACATTACCATATCCTGTTTAGGCTGGGATGAAAATTAGAATATTAGTTTGCCAAATGGGCAGGTAGTAAGACCTACAGATTTTAGCTAGTTGGAACAGGAATGTAGTAATCGATATATAAATGAATTTTGAATAAATGAACCCATAAATGCATATCAACAGTGAATTGTCATACCTTCTCACAGAGGTATTTATGGCAATCAAAAATATTAGGATAGCAGTCACCACTGCATGCGTAAAACCTTGTCCCTTTTTGTGTGTGTGGCACTGATTGAGGCCACAATCTTGATCTTTTCGGAACATTCCCTCCCCCCACCCCCATCCCCCTGAATGCTCAGAGTTTTGTAAGTCATTTCCCAGCTAGGGCTGCATATTCTCTCCCAGGTACTTATGCTTTATCTGCCCCAAGCAGCTACATGAAGGAGGAAATAAACCTACTGCAGTGAAAAAGGCCATTGCTGTTAGCTTCTGTTGGTCATCCCCATGATGGAGAAATGGTATCACCTTAGTAAACACAGCGTAATCAAGCCCATGATGATTCTTGACAAGAGCTCTAGAAGAACAACATTAATTAAATTATTACATATCATAATCATGGTGAACTCTACCATGAGGTTGTTTGTTTTTTTATGATTTACCTGGCCAAGAGGAGAACACCTTCAATGTAATTCTCTGGTGAAGACAGAAGATCCCAGTTTTCTGTGAGACTTGTAAAACATGTCTGTGATGACTTCTCCCTTTTAATCAAGGCTTTTAAAGTTTCCATGGTACAGCTGAATTAAGGTCAAGAAAAGTATTTGACTGATGGAGAACAGGGAATCTGGTATCTCTCAAGAGTTTCACAAAGAAACTATCATCTCTCTCTCTCTCTCTCTCTCTCTCTCTCTCTCTCTCTCTCTCTCTCTATCTATCTATCTATCTATCTATATCTCATCTCTCTCTCTTCTAGCACAGTCTCTTTCTTCTAGCTATCTCATCTGTCTGTATCTGTCTCACCCAGAAACATGTTTATGGCCAGAGTGCAAAGAAATTAGTAAAAATATAAGAAATCATAACCAGTGCGGACGAAGTATGCATGCATCGAACTTGACACACAAGCAGCCTGCATGCACCATTTTAATGATTTTGCTGCCAATCTGCTACGCTCGACAGGGCGATTCAAGTCCATGTGGACCAAACATCAAATTTTCAAAAGTTACTTTTAAAACTTGGAAAATCTGTCGAAAAAGGTGTCAGAACTCTGTTCCGGTGCGTTTTATGACAAAAGAGCACTCTGCCTGCCTGCCTGCCTGCCTGCCTGCCTGCCTGCCTGCCTGCCTGCCTGCCTGCCTATCTATCTATCTATCTATCTATCTATCTATCTATCTATCTATCTATCTATCTATCTATCTATCTATCTATCTATCTATCTATCTATCTATCATCTATCTCATCTTTCTCTCTTCTAGAATAGTCTCTCTCTTCTAGCTATCTCATCTGTCTGTATATGTCTCACCCAGAAACATGTATATGGCCAGAGTGCAAAGAAATTAGTAAACTTAAAATATAAGAAGAAATCGCAGAACACAATTTTTTTTATAAAGCAGTGTGTGTTTACAGGGTGTGTGTGTGTGATTAGCAGCCAAAAATCTATAAGACATATCCAAAAGTGTTCAAGAAGCAAAATCTTTATTAGCCAGTATAATTATGGAGACATATGAAGATGGAATAACATTCTCAGTCTATATGAGAACTTATTTTTTTCTAAAAATCCCTGTCATTTGTGTTTGTAGTAAATTGCTATATCGGGATGCATTTTGTTCTTGGACTGTGGATTCCACTTGGTCTTTGAGTGGTAATCCAGGGATCACATTTGAAAAGCAGATGGGTCCAGGAACAAAGAAAAGTAACATTTAGTTACATTAAATAAAATTAGTTCAGCTAATAATTACATGAATTATTTATATTTAACGACTTTATATTTAATAACCCATATATTTAATGGCATTTCACATGGAAAATTGGTGACAGGTTTTGAACACTGATATGTGCTGAAACTACTGAAACTACTGTACTTCAGCATATGAATAAATGAAATACATTTTTAGTATGTTTAGTATGTTTTTACATTTTACATTTTTTGTGATGTGTGTGTGTGTGTGTGTGTATGTGTGTGTGTGTGTGTGTGTGTTCACATGGATTTAAATGTATATCTTCAGTGTTTAAATAGCACCAGTATCCTGATTTTTATAGACTAGCACAGAATGCTGGCTGGAGAATTTTGGAAGTTGAAGTCCAGACATCTTCAAGCTGCCAAGATTGAGCTGGAAATATTACTTTTTGCTTCAAAATCTTTGTATATATTTTATTCATTATTAGATTTATTTATATCCAACCTTTATTTGTACCAAAGGTAGTGTACATAATAATCCTGCCTCCTATTTTATCTACAACAATCATCCTGTGAGACAGGCTGGATTGAGGGAAGACTAGAACTCCTGGTCTTCTAGTTTCCAGTCCAGTATTTTAGCTACTACATCAAACTGACTACCTTTCCCTCATCTCTCTCTCTCTCTCTCTCTCTCTCTCTCTCTCTCTCTCTCTCTCTCTGTCTCTCTCTCTGTCTCTCTGTCTCTCTCTCTCTGTCTCTCTACACATACACACACACACACACACACACACACACATCACTGCAATCCAAACAAATTCTCAGCAGTGATTGTAGCAGGTGCACGGAAGTGAAGAAAAGAAGATTTGTAAAGGGTGACACACCACATATCTCATTAATAAAATGCCACTTTAAATGCTATAAATCTAATGATATTACAAGGCCATGTCATCTCTGTTCAGCCACTGTTGTGGAAGTGATGAGTTCTATTAATTTATTAAAAGAGAAGAAAGGTATCCAATAAAGACTGGAGAACATTCAAGAAAGATGTTAACCTCCCATCTTCCTTCTCATCTGACTTCTGAAGAAGAACAAAACTGTTCCACCACTGGAGATGTGAAGGCTTAGGAGAAACATTCAGAAGAGTTCTGAAAAAATCCCTCAAAAAGCCTCTCACCTTTTCTGTCCTTTGTCCAATTTTTCCAGTTTCTGGAACTTACTTATCAATGTATTTAATGTTCAGCCATAATTTATGATTAGTCACAACATGTGACTACCATTCTTTCAAGTTTAAAGAATTTTCTAGGGGAACGTTTTAATTTCTCTTGTGCTGATGTACGTCCCTACAAGTCTCTGCCCTTATGAAATAGAAACAAAGGTTTATTATGTCATGTCTAACACTGATATTACCTGTTTTATACCCCACTAGTTACCTTATGTATTGCGATGCTTTGAGGATGTCCTCCTGCCCGTAGTCACCATCTAAAGAGCTCACCAAGTAGTGCAGTTGAATGACCAGGAAAATTATCACAGACACATAAAAGCTATTCATAGGCACTTTGCACCTTTTATCTTTAAATATTATGCCCAGGGCCTTTGTTGCCTGAGAAAAGAATGTATATAAACACAATAAATTCTAGACAAATTGGTGCTTGTCTGCCAAACATGCATCATTCATTATTTGGATTCTCAAATGAGTAAATAACCATGGAATAAAACTCACAGCCAAAGGGAAAAAGGAAGTATTAGTATCCTTGAAATTTAGGTCTGAGCACAGAGGCTCACTGTGGAGGCTGGGTCTTCTTTTTAGGACTTCAAGGAGTTTGGCAAGGACCTGGAGTCTGACAGGTTGTTTAGCTTGGCCCAGGGTTTCCCAGATTTGAGTAACATGTCTGCAATTGAAATTGGAAACAAGACACAATTATTTTGTTTTAGAAAAAACACCTATTTTTGATTTCTTTTCAAACCTAGTTTGGGATAAATGTGAGCTGGAGAGAAAGGCAGAGAGACAGACCTATTAAGATGAAATTACAGGCACAAATGCAGACAAAAAGAGAAACTTATTGCACATCTGGAGAGTGATTGGCTACTAAAGATCGCAGAGGATACATATGTGATTTACTTTTTAAACTATGGCTATAAAAGTATTTTAAAGGAGCCTCTTGTCACTGTTTTTCACCCAATCTGAGACACTGTTGACTTCAGTAACCACAGGTCTAGATTGTACAAGCCAGCTCAGACACTGCCTTTCACTCATCCACTTTACTTTGTTGTTCCCAGCATTCTTTTCCTTATACATTTGTGAATTGGTCCCTGCTTCATCTTTTTAATAACTGGAGCAGCAAAGCAAGCACACTCCATGCTGCTGAAGCATACACTGAAGGCTCATGAAAGTTCAGCTGAGTAATGCAGGAGGAGACAAATAACATACAACTGTTTGTATCAATAAAGCCAACGTTTCATCTTCACTGAACAATTTGTGTGGGTGGATCTCCAGGAGGCAATCTTATAATGTAGCACTTTGAAATCAACAATCCCAGAAATCAGCATTGTGATGCAGTTTGTCCTGAATTTAATTTTATGTCATGCAACCAAATTCAAGTTTATCCAAAGGTGATCATCGGGGATTAATTCTTAGACTACACATTTTTCAGCAACTTGCTTTGAAACATTGCTATTCTTCTTATTTATGACTGTATTCCAACTAATGATTTATAGTATTGTCTAATTATTGTTGTGACAACCTAAAGCTTGTCTGTTTTACAGTTTTGTTGGCACAAGAAATATAGGGTGATTCCAGAAAATGCTCTAAATTGCGAATTAGGAAATAGCCCAAGACTGAACATGAAATTCTTCAGAAGATGAAATTTTTACAGTCCAATCTATATGATCAACTCAAAAGATAATGTTCAGTTCTGGCTTAATCTTCCTTTGCATTCCAAGAATTCTAGACTGAGTCCTTGGCAGTTTCAGGTAGGCATGGAAAAGATTCCTACTGAAATCTCTTGAGAGCCATTGCTAGTAATTGTGGATGCATCTGATTATGGCATAAAACAATTTCCTCTATTTCATGCTCATTTTGGTCTGGGCAGTGCAAGATAAATTATGACCAGAGGAGGGCTCTCCAGACTACAGGCTTGGCTTGTCATAAATACATGCCCCAAGCTTGTAGATTTGAATGAACCCTTGTATTTTGATTACATGTCCATTGATACCAAATAAAGAGAGACTGACAATTGCCTTAGCATTCTCCATTGTCAGGTCAACAATTGAAGTGAGTCATCAGTAACTCAATAAATAAGAGAGAGAAGTCCCTGCGGAATGAGATTATACAAGCTTTTTACAACAAAAGATTTCAGATTGCCGCCCAAGATGTCATCATTCTAAAGGAAATCCCATCTAAAATCTTAAGAAGTAGGAAAGACTTTGCTTTTTTAACCAATGAGCTTAAAGCTAGATCGATGCCATTCAGATGGGAAATTCCGATGGGTATCGTTTTGAGCCATGCTGGGACACGTTACAGATTGAACACAGTTGACAAAGCTAGAGATTTCTATACTTCGGTCCTGAGTGCAGGCTCAACTTCATCTGGTCGGAAATCTTTGAGTGCTAAGGAACCTGAGCAGCAATCTGAGGCACTAGATTTGGTTTCCGCAGGGATGATAGAAGTGGCAAAGCAACGCCAAACGGAGGCTAAAGAGCAGAGGATGACTCGTGCAGCTTATAAGCGTAAAGAGAAAGAGCAACGTAAAAAAGAGCCCAAAGAGAATTCTCCTGGAAGTCCATCACCGCCGGTGGGAGGAGCAAGACCCAAGAGTTATGCAACACATGCAGCTCTGTCAGAGTTTGATGGTGTCTTCTCCAGGCTGCGTGCCAAGGGAGATGGCAAAGTTTTTGACCTGGAATGTTAATGGATTGAATTCTCCTCAGAAACGGAAAAAAATCTTTTATTATTTGAAGCAACACACTAATGATGTTATTTGTTTACAGGAAACTCATATTCTACTTAAAGATCAGAAATATTTAGTTAACGCTCGTTTGGGATCTCATTTTATATCTCCTGCACCTGGGAAGAAAGGGGGAGTTGTTATATATGTCAAACAAAACCTGCCAGCTTGTCTGGTAGAATCAGATCCCCAGGGGAGATATGTGATGATTGAACTTGGTATTTATGGTAAGAAAGTACTTATAGTTGGACTTTATGCTCCAAATCAACAACAGGAACAATTTTATAAACAGTTACACCAAAAAATAACTTTGCTTGACTATAGATCAGTGGTACTAATGGGTGATTGGAATGGTGTCTTAGACACACAAAGGGATAAGAAAGGTTCCTCTCCTTTTCTTAAACAAGCAAGGCTACCTAAAGCCTTTTTTGATATGAAAGAAGACTGGGAATTAAGGGACTATTGGCGGGAACGTAATCAAGAGGAGAGAGACTTTACTTTTTTTTCTGACAGACACCAATCTTTTTCAAGAATTGACTTTTTCTTGATTACCACGGATTTGTATAATAAAGTAAAGAATGTAAAGATTTTTCCTAGATCACTGACGGATCATAGTCCAGTTTGGATGGAGTTGATTCAAGAGAAAGAGGAAAGAAGATCCTGGAGAGTTAATGAAAATTTGTTTAGACAAGAGAAGAATGTTCAAAAACTAAAGGAGTGTTTAAAGGACTATTTTGCTTTGAATATGTACAAGGGGACTTCAATGTCAATGGTATGGGATGCAGGTAAAGCATTTATGCGCGGTGTTTTGATAAAAATGAATAATTTTTATAAGCGAAATCAGATTCAGAAACGTAGAGAACTTGAAGATGAAATTAAACTAAAAGAAAGGGCTTTGATTCTAAATCCTTCTGATGAAAGTACTAAAGAATCTGTAAAGTTATTAAGGTCACAATTTAATATGTTGATAGCAGATCAAGCTGCAACCAATTTATTATTTATGAAACAAAATACATTTTGTAATGCTAATAAGCCGGGGAGATGGTTGGCTTATCAATTAAGAAAGAAACAGAGACAGAGAATAATAGAGAAAATAAATTATAAGGGTAAACTAGTTTCTCAGAAGGAATTAATTAAAAAATCTTTTTTGGATTATTATCAAAACCTATACAAATCTACTAATGTACAACTGTTAGATATAAATAAATATTTAGCTGAGGCAAGTTTTCCTAAACTGACTGAGGATCAGAAATATGAAATTAATGGTTTAATTACTAAGGAGGAAATCGCCTCAGCAATTCAACAATTGAAATTAGGGAAAGCACCGGGTACGGATGGGTTAACAGCTGTTTATTATAAAGCCTTAATGGAGGAGATGATTCAACCATTAAATGATCTTTTTAATGGTATCTACAGGGTTTAGAGATTCCTCCTTCATGGCGTAGTGCTTTTATATCATTGATTCCAAAGGAGGATCAAGATCTTACTTTACCAAAAAACTATAGGCCTATATCTCTTTTAAACGTGGATTATAAGATATTTGTAAAAATTTTGGTAAATAGGCTTATGAGGGTGGTGCATCATCTTGTGCATAAAGATCAATCAGGGTTTATAACAGGAAGGTATATGAAAAACAATGTTAGACAAATTATTAATTTACTAGAATACTTAGATAAGAACAACCAAGTTCCTGCAGGGCTCATATTTTTAGATGCTGAAAAAGCATTTGACCAACTGAATTGGCATTTTATGCTAAGAGTAATGGAAGAAATGAATTTTGGTGAAAACATATTACAAGCCCTTAAGGTAATATATCAAAAACAAACAGCACAACTTATTGTTAATGGAGGTTTGTCGGAGGTTTTCACAATAGAGAAAGGTACTAGACAGGGGTGTCCTTTATCGCCATTGTTGTTTGTTTTAACATTGGAAATATTATTGATTAAAATTCGAGAGTCTCAGGAAATTAAAGGAATATATGTTAATAAAAAAGAATATAAGTTGAGAGCTTTTGCGGATGACTTGGTTGTTACTTTGTCGCAACCTGACTATTCTGTAGTAAACTTATTACAGTTGATTCACCATTATGGTTTGGTCTCGGGTTTTAAGATTAATGTAAATAAGACTAAAATTTTACCTAAAAATATGTCGAGTCAGGAGAAGCAGATTTTGGTTAACTCGACGGGTTTTGAGATTGTTAATAAGGTAAAATATTTGGGGGTGATGCTGTCTGTTTCTAATGCAAAATTATTTAAAAACAATTATGAAAGGTTGTGGGTCGGGGTACAGAAAGACTTGAAGAACTGGGAAAAGCTGCAATTATCCCTCATGGGAAGAATTGCAGTGATAAAAATGAATATTCTACCCAAGTTTCTTTTTTTGTTTCAAATGTTACCAATTTTGAAAAATGAGATTAATTTAAATGAGTGGCAGAAGGGTCTCAATAAATTTATTTGGGCAGGGAAAAAACCAAGGGTTAAGTTCAAAATTATGCAAGACTTCCGTGAGAGGGGTGGACTCAAGGTACCAAATTTGAAATTATATTATGATGCGGTGGTTTTAACATTAATTAGTGACTGGGTAAATTTGACAAATTCTGAGATACTTTATCTAGAGGGATGGGATTTACTTTATGGGTGGCATGCCTATTTAATATTTAATAAAAAAATAGATTGGGCTTTTAAATCTCATATTTTAAGAATTTCTTTACTTAGGATTTGGAGAAAATATTATAAAAGTGATTTTAAAGTACCATTATGGGCTATACCTTGGCATGCGATAGAAGGAATAAAAAGAGGGGTTAAAATGGATATGGTGTCTTATAGACAGTTACTTAAATGGGATGGACAAAACTGGCAATTAAAATCACGGGAAGAATTAGCACAAGAAAATTTTACTTATTCTTGGTTCCAATATAGGCAACTACTAGATAGATGGAAGATGGATTGTAAGGTGGGTTTTCTTAGAGAAGATGAAAATCTTATTAAGCAACTGAAGGATCAAAGACAAACCCACATTAAGAGAATTTATGGGGTTTTAGTTGAATTGGACTCAGAAACGGAACTAATTAAAGATTGTATGATTAGATGGGCGCAGAACTTTGGTGAGCCAGTTTCATTGGACACCTGGGAAACTATTTGGGTGAGAAATGTCAAATTTACTCAAGCACAGAATTTAAGGGAGAATTTTTATAAAATGTTTTATAGATGGCACCTTGATCCACAAAAAATGTCTTACATGTACCCTGACGTGCAACCTAAATGCTGGAGATGTGGTTACAAGGAGGCTTCTTATTATCATATTTGGTGGTCATGCAGAGAGATAAAAGCATTTTGGATCAAAATATGGTGGAATATCCAGAGAATTTTTAGAAGGAGGGTAAAATTCACTCCGCAATTATTTTTGTTAGGTATTGTTACAGATTGTGATACAAAGGAGGTTGTATTGATGTTAAACTTGATCACAGCCGCGAGGCTGTTAGTTGGACAATATTGGAAGAAGGAATCTTTGCCTACATTGCAGGAATGGTTTTTTAAAGTAGCTTATTTGGCGGAAATGGCAAAGATTTCGGCTTTCTTAAAGCAACAAACGCAAGAGAAGTTTTTTGCTATCTGGGACAAATGGATAAAATTTATACAATTTAGATTGGGTATACAAAAATATTATATAGCCTTTTCATAAGTTTTATTTTTATATATATTATAGATATCTTTTTTATATATATAAATATAGAGTTTTTAATTTAATTTTTTTTTTTTTTTTATTATTTCTTAAGCCTATATTCTGCTCTGGGAAGCTCAGGGGGGGGGAAGGGAGGGTTTTTGGGAGGGGTGTGGGGTGGGGTTTTTTTTTTTTTTATATGTATTGTTTAAATTTTTTTTTTCTCTTTTGTATATGTTGTTTTTTGTTCTGTATTGTTCTTGTTTTTTTTGTAAAATTTATAAAACTTTTAATAAAAAAAAAAAAAAATAAATAAGAGAGAAATGAGTGCATTTATCCATAGTATTCCAGTAATAAAAGTGTATATGGCAGAGTATTTAAAATGGTGGGGTCATTGATATTGTTATCAGTTCAGCCCATCTCTTTATCAGAAGAAAACCTCCCCCCCCCATACTTGTCATAATAATTAGCCTGCCACTCTTTTTTTTTCAGTGCCTTTGAGGCAATTTTTACTCCTGGTGACTACATGGACAGGAGCAGAACTCGGATTTCCTTACTTCTAGTCCAGCACTTTAACCACTAGACCAACCTGTCACAAAAGAGCGAGAGTCTCAGAAGGCTTGAGATGGCCTCATCTGTGTGTGCTTCAACCAGCAGGCAAACAGCTCCTATTGCTGCTTCTCTTGCACTGCGATCCTGGATAGCATTCAAGTGGAAATAAATAATATCTATGATTTCTGGCACCTACAAAGGAGAAAAAAAGGGATTGTCAAGGGTTGTATTTTCTTGTGTTTTTAGTCCTTAACATAATTTATTCATTCAAATATGAATGTAGTAGTACAGAGCATCTGAATAAGACTGGGTACTTCTTAGGAAAAATGGTCCTTAGGAAAAAAAATCTTAGAGATTAATAAATGTACTATAAGTCAGGGCTTTTCAACCTTTTCACCGATTGTACCACTTTTAGGATATGGCAATATTCGAGTACCACCTAGCAAGGTGTCAAAAACGTGATGACCAAAAAAAAAAAAGCCTGTTCAAAGTTGCAATTGCACTGAAATGACTTATGACCATTTTTCACACTTATGACCATTGCAGCATGCCCAGGGTCATGTGATTTATATTTGGGTGCTTGACAACTGATTCATATTTATGATGGTCACAGTGTCCCAAGGTCATGTGATCCCCTTTTGCAACCTTTTGACAAGCAAAGTCAGTGGCAGGGTTGCTGGTGGCCAAGTGCTAAGGCGGGACTTCCCTCCCTCCCTCCCTCCCTCTTTCTCATGCCCATCTTCTTCTGAAGGAAGAATTTGAACCCCCCATATTTTCTCTCTTCCATATATTCATCAAACACGGAAAAGCCTCCAGAGACAGAAAAGACAAACTGCTGAGTGAACTAGCTTAAAAGGGCACATTCCTCTTTAAGAATTAGCTACTGGCTAGAAAGGAAAGTTAAGGAGTGCAGCCGGCACTTAATGAAGAAAATAACAACTGTAGATTTACTTCTAAGTTAATCTTTAGGTTAGAGATCCTGGCTTGCAACAAATAGCATAAGTATGTTTAAAATTAAATTGGGATGTGGTTGTTGTTGTGGCATACTAAAAAAGTGCCAACATTGATTATTAGTGTCTTTACCATTAGTAGTAGAATGCTGCATGTGTCACAAGCTTGTCTATAGCTGGCAACCTAGTCTAATAAAACAAATTTTATGAAAGCATGACCAAAGCATGATAGGCAATGGAAGTCAATCTATGAAACTTCATTTGGTGATGACAATGCCAAGTTGAAGATTGTAACTTATAGTGTTAGAAAGTCAAATGGTAAAGAGCATTGAGTAGCAAATAAAATGAATGAGCAAATGGAAGAAGAAATGTTGTGTATTGTGAGAAGAAGAAGAAGAAGAGAAAGGATGTAATAGATTTGAATAAAGATGATATGCTCTTTGGAATAGTGTTGACTAAAACTCCATCAAATCCATTATTTCTTGTAATGATATGTGAGAATGACCTTGGGAAATAAGAGGGAGAGTCATAGGTTGGACAGCTGGCATGTAAAAGATATCTCAGCCTACAGAAGAAGGGAGGACATGGGAGTCTCCCTCGTTTTCAGGAGAATAAAAAGAAAGGAAGGGGAAGATCCTTTCAGTCTTGCAAGATTCTGTTCATGTAGCCTTACAATACCGATAGACTTTGTGCAACTGGTTGTGTTTCTGGTTTGGACTAACATTCTTACTGCAGGTCATCCCTGCTTCCAATGACAAACTGAACAATTAGGGTGAATTGATACCTAAAAACTTCCTTTTTTGATGAACCCTCCCTATAATTTCCCCAACTTGGCTTTATAAATTCATTTGCTTTGGCTTGGAAAGAGATTAAGTAACTAACATGAAATGGGTTGGATGCCCTTCCATTTCTTTTTCAGGTTTTCTTCAAAACTCTTAATAGTATTTGAAGAAAAAGAATGGCTTCTGAAGTGGAATAGCTCATGACTTCTTATGGCACCTCCTTGCCTTCTAGTACACTTTTGATACAGGCTATTTTTATTGTTATTGCAGACACTTGAATTAGAGGACACCTCACTGGGCAGTGTAAGTCCCTTAAGTGAAAAGACTGGTGTAAGGCTTCCTGATGAAAGTTTTGAAAATCTAGACCAGTGTTTCTCAACCTTGACAATTTTAAGGCATGTGGACTTCAACTCCCAGAATTCCACAGCTAGCAATGCTGGCTGTGGAATTCTGGGAGTTGAAGTCCACATGCCTTAAAATTGTCAAGGTTGAGAAACACTGATCTAGACAACAAAAGGAAAAATAAAAAATATGGAACAAAACTGATGAATTGGAAGTTCTCGAAAGATAAACTGCACCTTATTTAATTGAAAAGTGTGTATTAGTTGACTAAAGTCACAAAATATTTTTCAGAGCATTTCTCCTAGGGAACACTTATTCAGATCTTTAACTATTGCAATACAACTTTTCCCAGTGTAGGACTATTTCCATCATGTTAGGATTTAGCAATATGAATGACATGCCCATAAAACAAAGAATCCTGTTACTTCGGAATAATATTGCAATTCTGAGTTGGTAATCTTTGGACACATGTATTTCAGAATACAGATTACAATCAGTGGATTACTATGTAATATCAGATGGAAAAATATTCTTTTGTTTCTAGAATTCTCAGGGTTGGACAATAAAATTGCACCCAGCTACATCTAGGGAACTCAGAATTATAGGTATTTCTGATGATGATAAAGTTTTTACTGATAATCAACGCCTCCTTAATGTCAGCTGCCACCTTACGCTTGCTTGCGCTTCGCTGCTAGGTGGTGACATACTGCCATGAACTGTGGGGAGAGGGAATGAAGGGGGGAATGCTTCAGGAAATGAAGTAAGTGCTGTATCTCTTCAAGATGCTGCCTCAACGTCATCCAGCTGGAAGGAGAAGCGCCGCTTCCCAAAATACAGTTGGACTGACCATTAGGAAAACATCTTGCCTGAACCTGATTGGTTGCACTGGGGTGGGCAATGAGATATAGTTAAGGGAATGAAAAGTAGAATTTAGGGATTTTGGTGTGTGATTCTCAGTTCTGGCTTTGCATTACTGCAATACACTTATCTCTAATAAACTATACCTTTCGCAAAAAATGGAGCCAAGGATTATTTTTATTTAGAGGTTTAAGTTGTGGCAGTGCCCAACACCTTAACATCTATTTCATGAATATCACTATAGTGATGGCTCACCAAATCAAAACTGGTTTTTACAACAATTATGCTGTAATATGATGTTCAATTTAAAGAAACAATAATGCAGTTAGCAACTTGTGATGGCCATTTATGGGGGTAGATACCACTGGAAAAAAATGGAATAGGTTAGTTGCTATTGAAAAATGGTAAAAATTGATTTGCTATTATTTAAACTAGCAGTTCTAGGACAAGGAATAATTTCAAAACACCTGCAGAGTGAATCAGAGCATCAAATCAACATAAAACTTGAAAATGAGACTCAACTTGTCTTACCTTTCCCCTTAATTTGTTCTTCTCTTTCTTTAAAAGAGAATTCAGCATAGTTGCAGCTGCCTGGATATTGTTTCTGTCCGAGTTCCGCAGGCTAGCCACTGCCAAGAGTATCTGTCCAGTAATGGTGGCTGTTGGATCAGTTTTGAGAAGTTTCTGAAAAGGACAGAGAAAAGGTGTACAATTCTTAAGCAAGTGGCAGAGCTAGCTTATGCTTTTATTAAATTTTATTCAATGCTGCAAGGAGAAGTCTTGGACATGTCACCCTAACCATTAGCTCTGGACCATAACATTATGTCTATTGCTAGGTTCTCCCATATAAAGTTTGACAGTTGTTTGAGACTTCAATTTTCATTATGCCTAATCATACGACCACAAGATATGCTGATTAGCAAATATGGGGATTGAATTCCAACACAGCTTTTGGGCAACAAACTGGGGAATGCTAGTTGAAGTGTACATAGTGTATAGGATGATCTAACATGAAATTAAATGTATTAAAATGAATAGAAAACTGTGCCTCAAGGCAGTATATGTGTACACTTTCCTAAGAACCAAATTTAGTCTTTGAGCAGGATACTGTGTTCCAAAACACAGATGGGGTCTCTAAAAAAGTGGATTGAGATAGATTAAAACTGTATTTGATTTAATTTAAATTTTATTAATAGCTTTCAGTATTAATGTACTGAATTGGGAAAGTGTATACTTCCACTGCTGCATAGTAGCTATGAAGTATGAAGAATCGGGGCATAAGCAGAAGACTTTTGGAATTACGGTATTAGTCTTCCTGTTCATAGATTGTACCTCATTACATTCTTCTGTAATTGGATTCAAGGAAATACTCTCATGATGTTCTAAGTCTGTAATCCCTGTTTTGTGTTTTTCCTCCAGAAGGAAGTTCTTAAATTCCAACCCTGACAGGACAGTGGGACATTTCTCTTGTAGTCTGCTTCTTGTTTTCCACACATAGTATTTTTCTTTTCCTGGCACAAATATGAGAGCTGTATATGGATTTGCCTTCACCTGGAATGGATCATCTAATGTGTCCTCAGAGGAGGTCTGTGTAGCTTTATCAAAGCAGATAAAATCTGATTCACTGGCAAAGGGCATGTTCAGCCTCAGATGTGGGCCATTGGTCTTCTCTGTTTTTTCTTTTATAACCATAGCTGCTCTAGGAGAGAATGAAAGATTGTGAAGTTATATCTCAGAAGAATATCTAAAATTATTTTTGGTTAAAGCAATGGTGAATTAGATGAGGAGAGTTTTCAGTTAAACCCTGTGGGATTTGGAAACAAAATCCCTGAAATAAGGATTTCATAAAAACCTGTACATTATAGGTATACACTTATGACCACAATTGATCCCAAAATTTATGTTGTTAAGTAAGAGGTTTATTAAGTGAATTTTGCCCCATTTTACATCATTTCTTGCCTTAATTGCTAAGAGAATCACTGCAGTTGATAAATTAGTAATCTAGTTGTTAAGTGAATCTGGCTTCTCCAAAAGGTGATCACATGATCTTGGGACACAGCAATGATCATAAATATGAACCAGTTGCCAAACATCTGAATTTTGATCACATGATTGTGGGGCTGCTGGAAAAGTCATAACTGTGAAAAATGATCATAAGTCACTTTTTTTAGTGCTATTGTAACTTTGAATGGTCACTAAATGAATTGTTGTAAGTTGAGGATTACCTGTATAGAGTAGTAAGAAATGAGAATGTGTTTGTAAGAAGGCTGTTAAACTTCTCAGTGAAAAATCGGAAATAAAATTACTCCCAAAGTTCATGGCTTTTTGCTTTTGCTCAAAATACTGTGGTGATTCACCTGTACAATTCATAGTAGTGTTTCTATAGTATTTGCTTTATTCTAATTCTATAATCACAATTAATAATTATTTTCATAACATTTATCTTATTGTAATATAATGTAGGTATATATGTTGGTGCGGTTCTAAGATGTATAACGAACTAATCAAGTCTCTTCAAGAACTCTAATTCAAATTCCTCTACTGTAATAAGAAATTTAGGCAATGGACATGCCTAATGATAGTCCTACAAAAAAGGCCTAAGAAATTTTTACATAAACTGTGGAAAACTGAGGTGGATAACTTCCAACCATTTATTCTGAACAAACATATACAGTATACACATTTGATTGATTGGTTGGTTCATTGATTGATGTGCCATTGTTTTTTACATCTAGCGACCACATAAATTTTCTTTATGACAAACTATACATATGAAAAAAGAGTAAAATCATATATGATTATAAGCTTTTAAATAATAATTCTTGACTATTTTAATGTTTGACATCAGAAATCTCTTGCTCCCAGTCTAGAGGTTCATATTGCATGTGCTGTAGAAAGCTGCCTTGATTTCACTTATAAACATATAAAATATGATAATGTTTTCTTGGCATTTATTTAGATTTCACTCATCAGATAGTCACAAATATGATAACATTGTTATAAAACAAAATCAGATTACAGAATAGATTCCTGTAAGAATTAATGATGAATCAGAACAATAGAAACAATGTGGAGTATGGAAGTGACTTATGACTGACAAACTCTGAAAAGTTAATGGAGGCTTACAAAGTTTTTGACCAAATGAGATAATCTACTTACAATATGCATGGTTAGAGCCAGGGTTACAGACTTCTCTTTTTGGTGCACCAGTTTTTGCCTCACTGGAATGTGTTTAAAAAAAGATCTCCACTAACACATGCAGGTAACAATGGATTTTATTACATCATTGCTTTGTGGATACCCTAGTTACAATATTACCAAGAGGGCCCAATGTTCCACTGGTTGACATGGGTATCTCTGGTATCCAATCAACTGAAGCAGTACTATTCCCAATGATAGAAAGCACTGAGGCAGAAAGCATTAGTTCAAGGTAATGTTTGTTGTGAAGAAACAGAATCTCTATAATCAAGACTGAAAGAAACCTATCCAGTTTGAAGTCAACAATATGAAACCATAACCATGATGCCATACATTTATCAGAGCTCATAGTTGAAGGAGGATTTATTTAGATCAGGAGTAGGCAACCTTGGCTCTTTTATGACTTGTGAACTTCAACTCCCAGAATTCCTGAGCCAGTATGGCTGGCTCAGGAATTCTGGGAGTTGAAGTCCACGAGTCATAAAAGAGCCAAGGTTGCCTACCCCTGATTTAGATTAAGGAGAACCATGCACGCGGGGACTCAGTTGCAGATTGGTCAACAGTACCAATTAGATTGGAAAGGAATTTTCAACCATTAGAAGCATAGAATTTTAGGATGGACTTCTAACAATGCTTATAACAACTGGGAATTTATTCGTCTTTATGACAGACTCTGATCTATTAAAGAGGAAAAAAGTTCCTTGGAAATAGCTTAGCTGATTTCCAAAATGTCCAGTGTGGTCAGATCTGTTTAGCATTTGGACAATAAGTCATATATTCTTAACCAAAATTTAAGATTATTTTTGATAATTATGCTATTAATCTAAATGATTACAGTAACACCATCATGCCATCCTTTTAAGATAATAATACATTAGGAGTTGATTTTAATGACATTCAGTTGAAATAATCTGATATGGTCAAACATTCAGCAGAGAGATGCTGAAAGACTAACTGAAGAATTAAAGGTGCCATGATGTCCAGAATAGGTAAAAAGTAGCACTAACTTTTGAGAAGTTTACAAAGCGTTGTCTCAAGCATCCTTTGCTTATAGCAGTAACTGATTTTAAAAAAGACATGTGCAATTATCTAACTTGTATCATTACATTGTATTACTTTTATAGGTGGTCACCCAGAAACAGTGATGGGATTCAAATATGTGAACAACCAGTTATCTGTGTGGATGCCGCTTCCAGAAGTCCATTCTGGGCCTGGACAACAAAAAAAATAGCTACCGGTTCTGCCGAAGTGGTGTGAACAGGCCGAATCCCACCATGCCCAGAAATTGTAAGCTTCATGTATCTTCAGAATTCCATGGAAGCTCAGTCACTTTCCTGGACTTGAGTGCAAGCAATCAGAGAACCTAGAGTGAATGAGGCTCTTGATCTCAGATGGGGTCCAATCTGGGTTAGTCACCAGGACCAGAGAATTTCTGAGCTTTTGGACTTGTGCTGGAGCCCATCTTCAGAGAACTTCTCTCTAGCAGATTGTGTGCTGTTCTGTGTATGGTATTTATATGGTGCCTGTTGTATGTGGCTTTTTAGATGTTGATCAGGGTGTATTGATGGCTGGCTTCTAAGTCGTTGGGTGTCATTTGCTTGTGCTGCCAGCCCTCAACTTCTAGGTACTTGATAGGCTGATGGTAAATCAGCACTCCTGTTGATTGATGAGGGGCCTGTTTCAATCATTTCCCTGGTTGTTTTTGTCCCTGCTCGTCCAACAATCTTAGTAGGTACAAAGTTGAATGTGTGTCCTTGTTCATTGCAGCGTTTTTATCCTGGGACACATGTATTCGCCTTCATTCATCAGATGGAGTTGTTCTCCTTGGCTAGAAATACAACAATATCCAGGTAGAATTTGCCTTCTTCTCTTTGCATTCCCTGTATGATTCCCCTTGTAGAGCTGGCCAGACCTCTATCTTTCTGTGTTGTCTCCCATAGCATTTCATCTCCTCTCAAGTCTCTATGGAGATAGGAAACTGCAGAAAAAAATGCATTTTGTTCCCAAGAGTGCAACTCTTTGTTCTGTAGATCCAAGACTCTTCTTTTCCAAATAGTTTTCAGTACTATGAAGCAGTGCAATTCCATCTGATACCTGAAATCAGTGGCAACCTTATGTTTGAAGTAGATAATGATTAAGAGATGAGGCTCTCTTGTTGACAATTGCCTTGAATTTCTGACACATCCTGTTGGAAACAAAATGGCATCTTTCTGCCAATGCAGATTAAAATAATCTTTCCCGCCAATCTTCATGAACATTGGAAATGACATCCCTGCAAGATTTCCAAGACATAAAACAAGCAGCAAGAGAGTATTTATTATGACAGGAATAAAATATCTTGGATATGATCAGTTTTCTCTTTACAAAACCGTAGACTAGATACAAACCAAAATATATTATTTCATCGATTAAGCTGTCTCTAGCAGAGCTCTAGGCTAGACTGAGATATCAAAAAATATCCTGGAAGAAAGCAGTGGCAAGCTCTTTTGTTCCTGTTGTCAAGAAAATTGCACAGACATGCTCACAAAATCAAAGTGAGTCAAGCTCAATTCAAAGGAAGTTTTTTTCCCTCTTTATCTGGCATTGAAGCAGCAGGGATTGGTAGGAACAATTTTCAGTTCTGGTTAATTTTATTATACAAAGTATGTCTATACTGTAATGCCTACCAACACAATTAAATTCAGGACAGCCAGCACAAATGTTTGATTGCACTCACTCTTTTGTGAATGCAATTAATAAACTCTGATGCAAATCCACACATATAAAATACAGTTTCAGATATTGAACTAAGCTGATCTGCATTTGCCTTCATCACAGCTGACTTCAAAACACTGAATACATCAATATGTGTTCTCTTCAGTTAACCAGGTGGAAAGTGCAAAAACTAGCACTGAATCAATGGTAGTTTCCTTTCTATGCTGTATTTAGTCATTTTTTAAAAAAAAAATTGCCATCATCCTAATCAATTTGAAGGACTGGTGCTGAAAAGACTGTGAAATGCTAGTGTGTTGTTATGGTGCCTTATCAGCTCGAGAGGGGCAAAGTCAAAGAATGGGATTTCATGTTGGTTATAGTAATACCCAGATTTTTTTTTTCAATCTGAAAACCAGTTCTCCAGCATGAGGATGGATAATCCACAGACTGGGTTTCCTGAAGTCCCTTCTACCCAATTAGACCAAGACTGAGAGATAGCCACGCCTCTTGCTGGGTCACATTTACCCAGTTCTGTCTTAGTCTTTACCCAGACAAGACGCGTTGGTGCTTCTCTCCAGACTCAGGGTTTTTTTTAAAAAAAATTGTTTCCCCTTATTCCTATCCGTGGATTATCCTTCCTTTCCCCTTTAATTTCTCTTCAAAACACTGTATTTTTCCTGTGCTTTCCTCCCTCAGGTCCTCCCCTCCCCTCCGAGTCCTTTTTGTTTACATTCCCCGGCTGTTGCAGCCTCAGTACGAGGCTTATGTTTCTTCCGGTTGAGTGCTCAGGGCTTTGGGAAGCCTGTAGCCTCAGCACGAGGTTTCTTTGTTTACCTTTTGCTTTTCGGGGCTTTGGGGAGTTGCGGAGCTTTCTGTTCGATCCAGCTGATCGGCGGATCTCCGCGGAGGCCCAGGGAGACGGCAGTTCGTCCCTGACTGCTGAGGCCTCAGCGGGGGGCCTGTTTCACTTTATTTGCAAGGCTTGCAGAACCGCGGAGCCTTCTGATTAGCTTGGTCGATCGAGGGACTGCCGGGGAAGCCCCAAATGACAGCTGATCGTCTGAGCTTTGTCCGGTCGATCACGGCTACCGACGAGTCGCCACGTGGCTGGCGGCCGCCATTTTGTTGTTTGGACGAGGCCTGTACTGCAGGGCCGGTGTTAGGGCCATAGGTTGATCGCCACATGGCTGGCGGTCGCCATTTTGGAATTAAAATAAATAAATAAATAAATTTTTAAAAATACTCATTACGCAATTTAATTTCTCAACTTTTGTCAGCAACAAAAGAGAGATTTAAGGCTAAATTAACCTTTCTGATCTTACTGAGTGGCTGGAACAGTTGCCCACCCATTTCTGGGGAGGGCTGACCTAGTGGAAACAATCCAAGCATTTTTCCCCAGCCACATCCACTTGTCATTGCCTCTGGCAATTTATTGCAACAATATAATTGAATTGTCTTTCATTGGGAGTTGGATTCTCTTACCTCTACTGCCTACTAAGAACCTATTTGTCATATACTGTGTTTCACAATTGTTTTTTTGGCAAGGAGCTCACATACTGGTCTCACCAATCTCTGCAGTCCCACACTGGGCCTCAGCTCCTAGCCTGTTCTAGACCCATTCTCAGACTTGTTCTGAAGGGTCTCAGGCCTAGTTCCTTCAAAAGGTGTCCATATTGATTTTCCAGCCTTTACTGCCTGGTACAAACCCATTCTCAGACTTGTGCTGAAGGGTCTCAGGCCTAGCTCTTTTGCAAGGAGTCCATAGTGGTTTTCCAGTCCTTACTACCTGGTACAACCCATTCTCAGACTTGTGCTGAAGGGTCTCAGGCCTAGCTCTTTTGCAAGGAGTCCATACTGGTTTTACCAATTTTCTACTGTTTTTCACCTTAAGACCTTACTTCTTGCTTTTCTTAGACCCATTCTCAGACTTGCGCTGAAGGGTACACAAGCGATGGCTGAAGACAAGCAGCCTCAACTGGTTATGGCACCCACCAGTCCTCCAAGTAAAAGGAGATGCAAATCTCCAAAAGTGGAGGCAGCTGGCAAAGTCAAAGCAAAAGCAAAGGCCTTATCCGGCAAAGCACCATCCAAGACGGTGGAAAAGGAGGCCGCTAGGAGACATCAGGCCCTAGAGAGGCAGATATCCAGGGCTCAAAAGACAGCTCCATCACAAATGTGCAAGCTGCATCTGAGACTTCTCCTTTCAGCCCTCAGGTAACCACAATTGCACAGGTTCATAGGCCATTGTCTCTGGAGGGTGGGTCTCAATCTCGACCCATTAGTCCCATGACATCTAATCCTAGTCCAAGCTGGGGGGCTCCCTTGCTTAATCCTCAACCTACTCCATTGGCCACATTCACACCCACGGCCGCTGGTCTCCTGAGTCGTCACAGACGATTGCGCCGGAGCAACTCCAATCCATGCTCACGCAGTTATTAGAGAGTCTCTTATCCCTACAGAAATTCCAAACCTCAACACCTTCCCAGTGTCGGTCTATCTCCCCTGATTACGCTTATTCCATTACTTCCGATCAATCCTCACAGAGTGGGGATTCTTATTCGGAAATTGATGAATCACAGGGAACAGCTCTATCAGACGATGAGGATGCTCCTCAGAAGCCCTCCCCTTTTGTAGGCCTCTTTGA